ACTTATCTCCCGGGTCAACAGCGGACATTACAGCATGACGCCACTATGCCGGCTAATTTTTATGTAATTTCTTTCAGAGAAACGGTTTCCACCCATCCGAACAGCACAGTGCTGGTTCCTCTGGAACATTTTCTGACCCTTCGAGAGTGATTTCAGCGCGGCCTCATGGGATCGTCTCATAATGATTTAATAGAAATCCATGTCCCTTTTATGGTAAGATGACAAGCACAACGCACGTCGCCAAAAGTGCTAGGTACGGCCATGGGAGCATAAGCTGCGGCTGCGGCCTATTTTTTTTTTTCTCTTGACACTGCAGAGTCTTGCTTTGTCGCCCCCCAGGACTGGAGTGCAGTGGCTCTATCTAAGCGCTCACCTGCCAGTACATCTCGAACTCCAAAAGCACACTGGGCTTCCATGATTCTCTAGGCGTCCTGTTTCAGCCGCCGTGAGTTATGCTTTGAGAGTACGATAGTAGACAAAGGTCCTTTTCCAACCATTTGCTGTAACACCCCCTGCGTTTATCAGAAGCTGTCCTGAGACGTCAGGTGTGAACCACTAATCTGAGACTCTGGCCAGTACATCCAACAGCGCTAGCATTTACATAAGCGAGATTAGCGAGGCGACACACCGCATCCGCTTCATTATCTCATTATTAAGCTATACTATATAAACTAGATAGACATAAGATATATTAAAGATTTGATTCAAGACTACCCTGTGGTAGAATTAATTGTATATATAGTTTTTTTTTTAATTTATATTTATTTATGCCGAGACAGGAGTCCTCATTGCCTGTCACCCTCCGCCTTCAAGACTATCTAATATTCGGAAGAGCAATACACGCCATCGTAAAAAGGATAACATGTACCCAAAAGACCGGAAGTAGACACCTGAGAGATCTGAGCCGTGGTGGTGCGCACGTGATTAACATCGGCTCACTGGAGGCAATCTGCATCCCGGTTATGCCATTCTCGACAGGCCAGGCGTTTAAGGCAGTGCGCCAGCGCGTTCAACAACACACTTCATCGCGGGAGTACACAGCCTAGCGACTACAGGACCCTGCCCACCACACCTGTTGACATATTTTTATGTGCTTGTGAGTCACTGACGAGTCTGCGTGGCTGGAGTTCTGTAAAAGTGATTAATCATAAATGCTAAGGCGCCTGGCCGTAATTCCTTTGTGTTTTTAGTAGAGACGGGGTTTTCAACAGTGTTACCAGGATGGTTCGACATCTCATGACCATCGTGCACCAGTCTCGGCCTCACCCAACAAGCTGCTGGATTACACGGCGTGAGCCACCCGCGCCCAGGCCTTTATTTTATTTTTATTTAGTTCTATCTTTTTTTGAGATGGATCTCGCTCTGTCGCCCAGGCGCCTGCGAGTGCAAGTGGCGCGATCTCGCCCTCCAAGACCAGGTTCATGCCATTCCCCTGCCTCATCCTGAGTAGAACTGGACCACAAGGTGCCACGCGACCCACCCCGGTACTCTAACATGTGTTTCCTGTATTACCTTTAGTAAAAGAGGACGGGGTGTTTCACCATGTTTGCCACGATGGTCCGATCATCCCGACTTAGTGATCCACCTCTCTCGGCTCCCAAATGCTCGGGATTACAGGTGTGCACCCACGGGTCTGGCCCTAATTTTTTATTTTTAGCTCAGAGACAGGGGTTTCACTCATGTTCGGCCAGGATGATCTTCGATCTCCTAGAACTCTTAGAATCCTCCCCGTCTCGGTCCCAAAGTGCTGGGATTACACGGCGTGAGCCAAGTGCCGCCATTGTTTTCGTAAATATATAAAGTCAGCAAATAAACCCAAGTAAAAATCTACAGTAATATATATCATCGTTAAGAGTTATTGTGTAAGGCGGGTGCGGTGGCTCCCGCCTGTAATGCTAGCACTTTGGGAGGCAGAGCAGTGTGGATCACCTGACGTCAGGAGTTCTAAACCAGCCTGGCCAACATGGTGAAACCCTGTCTCTACTAAACGTACAAAGCTACTCAGGAGGCTGAAACACGAGAATCATTTGAACCCAGGGGGTGGAGACTGCAGGGAGCCTAGATAGAGCCACTGCACTCCAGCCTGGGCGACAAAGCAAGACTCCATCTCAAAGGAAAACAAAAAAAATAAGGGCCAGAGCGCGCGTAGCGTGCATGCCTGTAACCCTAGCACCTTGGGGACGGCTGAGACGGGCGGGATCACGCTCGAGGTCAGAAGTGAGGTTTTCCTTGCCAAGCGCATGTATGAAACCCTGCATCTGCTACTAAAAATACAAAATTAGCGGGCATAGTGGCGCGCATGGACTGTAGAATGTCAGCTGACCCGGGTGAAGCTGAGCAGCGGACGAATCACTTTGGAATCCCAGGAGGCAGGAGCGGCAGTTGACCAGACGTGTGGGTGCCACTGCCTCCAGAGCTGGCCACTCACGCACACACAGGGACACTTCTCAAAAACAAAAGTGCTGGGTCGTTGCTGGGTGTAGTGCCCCCTTACTTATTATATTGCATTAATGATGTTTTGAAAAAACGAAACCTACCTGAGTGGCCTCGTTAGGCATTTCTTTTTTCTTTTTTTGATGGAGTCTCGCTTCTGTCACCCAGGCTGACGGTGCAGTTGGAGTTTGCGGATCTCAGTCACGCTGCGAACCCTCACTCTGGTTCCAGCAATACTCCTGCCCTAGCCTCCAACCACGTTGCTGGGATTGAACGGTGTGGGCCCATGCTTTATCGTGGTTTAGTCTTTGCCAGCTCCAATTTTCCTTATTGTTTGAGTATCGAGACATGGGTTTTCACGCATGTGTTGGCAACGTGTGGTCTGTTGCAACACTCTGACCTCAAGGCATCCACCGACCGTCCCCCAAGTGGCTGGAATTACAGTGTTGACACAGCTGCCACTTGGGCCTCGCAGTAAGGCCATTTCTGGAGATGTAGTGTATTAAAAGAAAAAATAGGCTAAGTGGCATGTGGCTCATGCCTGTCTACACGCACCGTTTGGCGAGGCGAGGTGGGCAGTCACAAGGGTCAAAGCGATCGAGACCATTACTGGCCTAACAATGGATGGTTCTAAACAGATTTTTGGTTATTTTTAGTGGAGGACAACAACCCTTGTCTCTACAAACAAATACCAGAAATTGCTTGGTGTTGTGTGTGGCCTCACACCTGTGAATCCCAGCTACTCGTTGTGTTTGTTGAGGGTGCGGAGAAGATCACTCCGCCTAAAGTCCGATTCGAGCGGAGGTCCTCTGGCGATGAGGCCAGATGCACCCAGTTGGACTCCAGTGCTGGGGTAACGAGCAAGAACTCGCGTCTGCTAATAGAAGTAAATAAATTGCTGTGGGTGCGGAGTTGGGCTCGCCTGTAACCCGCGCACTTTGGAGGTCGTAGGACAGGCGGTCACGGAGGGTCAGTAGTTCGGAGACCAGCTGGCCAACAGTAGTGACAGACCTCTCTACTAAAATAGCGCAAAGAAACAAAGATTAGCCTCCAAGGCAGTGCGCGTGTGCCTGTAGGTCCCGAGCTGGCCTGGAGGAGGGCTGAGATACGGCCCAGAATGGGTGGACCGCAGGAGGTGGAGTTGGGCCAGTGAGCCGACGATAGGCCACTGCCCAGCTCCCGCGCCTGGGATGTTGCAGCCAAGAGCCCAAGCGACTGTCTGAAAATTAAAACAATAAAACAAGAATGTAAAAAACAATCGGGCAGGCTCATCGGTGGCACACGCCTGTAGCGAGCCTACTCAGGAGGACGAGGCTAGGAAGGATCCAACTTGAACACTGGGAGGCGGGAGGTTGTAGGTGAGCCGAATTGTGCCACTGCATTCCCAGGCCTGGGCAACGACACAAGACTCCGGTCCCACAAGGGAAATAAATAAATAAAGAATTTTTAGAAAATTAGGGCTTTGGCGTGTGTGGGTGTGTGCCTGTAGATTCCGGTACGCTTGAGGCCGCTCTGGAGCGCACGAGGGAATCTCGCTTGAACCACAGGGAGGGTCAGATGGTTGGGGCAGTGAACGAGATCAGTTCCATGCGCTCCGCGCAGCCCTGGGTAGACAAAAAGGCACCACGCGGTCTCATAAAAAAAAAAAAAAAAAAAAAAAGGCCCAAGGCGCAGTGGGCTCACGCCTGTAACGTCCTAGCAGCGCTTTTGGGAGGGGCTCGGAACAGGCAAGATCACCTGAGATCGGGTGTTTGGGGGACCAGGGCGCTGACCACACGGGTGCGCAAGGGCCCCGTATTCTACTAAACAAATACAAACAAGTTCTGATCCCAGGTGTTTCGGTGACCGATGCCTTGTAGAGAGTCCCACGCTACTCGGGAGCTGGAGGCAGGACGATTGGGCTCTGGAAC